AGTACTTGTTTCCATTTATTGAATTGTTTCTTTTTAGCAAACTATTAAAGAGAGATCAATGACCCAATATTCTTACAAGGAAACAAAATGTGTTGCTTATGATACAGTGTCTGGGGTCATAAAGGCTTGAAGTTAAACAAGCAACCATCTAGCAGGGAAGCAAATAGGCCCACCTGGAAGAAACACACCAGCCTATGTGATCATGAGGCGTTGACAGGATCAGCTATCGGGTATCAAAAGATCTTTTAAAAAAAACACAATTTTAATTGATGCATAAGAGTTGGTGTGGAGACCCAAAGCCCATCTGTAGACAATTGGACATCCCCCCACAGAAGTGTTACAAAGAAGGGACGATTCAACCAGGGGACAGTATAGCACAGATGAAACACACAATATTCCTCTAGTTCCTGAATGCTTCCTCCCCCACACTACCATGACTCAGCTCAACCTTACAAATCTTGCTAGACTGGAGCACACACATTGGTACAGAGAAGAGCTCTCGACACATGGAATTCAGGACAGATAAAACCCTCAGGAACCGTAGTGGGAGTAGTGAAGTCATGAAGGTAGGGGGATTGGGGTGGTTTGAAAGAGAGACTCCCATTATAAGGTTGGATATATAGCTCCCACACAGGGGGATGAATAACAGAAATGTGGATGAAGAGAGACACAGGGCGTCTGGTGAATAGTCAGTATAAGACACAAAATAATGATAATAACAATAATAATAAATAATTGATCAAGGATTCATGAGGGTGGAAGGGAGGGAGGGGAGCTGATACCAAGGGCTCAAGTAGAAAAAAATGTTTTGGCAATGTTGATGGCAACGTATGTACAAGTGTGCTTAATACAATTGAATGATGGATTGTTAAAAGAATTGTAAGAGCCCCCAATAAAATGAATAATTTTTAAAAGGGGGGTGGGAATTAAGACTTTTCTTTAAATGTATATTTCCTTGTTTCTTTCCAATAAATCAACAAGTAGCTATAGTAACAAGTGTGAATAGCCAGGCTTACTGCTTCTTTATCCGGTAATTGCTTAGGGGTGGGGCTAATTTAACAACTATAAAACGAAAACGATAAGGACAGGAGAATTTTCATTGTGAATGTGTTTTCAGTTCCTAAGACATTACCCTCTTCAATGTCTCCTAGAATTATGTGTTTAGACACACTTTGAAGTAAAGGCAAATACTTCAAAGAAAGAAAATAAATAAAATTCATTGAGTTGGACTTCTTCAATATCCTAAATTAATGCCAAGCATTTGGAAAAGTGCTGTTTTCCATTGCAAATGCTGTTCTTCCTTATAAAATTAATTTTTTCTCCCCTTTCATTTCATTAAAGATTTAAATTTAAATTGATTTATTAAGCTATACCACTTCCTGAAAGAGATTAACAGAATTTTCATGAAATGTATTCAAATAATTAATGTTCAAAGCAAAAGAAATGAGGCAGTCAGGTATGCTTGTGAGCATACTCATTTGTCCACGTGCCCACACAGCACCGACGTATCTCCTCGTTCTGGGTTCTCAGAAGACGTGAACTGCCTCCACTCTGGAAGCCGCTTGCTGGCTCACCAAACATGAAGGCTCATTTATCTGAATTGCATCCAGCTACATGCGCAAGGATTGTGCAGAGACGAGTCCGTACACCATTCTCTAAGCCGGATTAGAAATTCTGGAAATCAGCCAGCAGAAAACCTTCCATTTTCGCTGAAGACCATTGCCTTATGCGTGTCTGTGTTTTTTGCACAATAGAAAAGTAGAGACGAGAGCTCTGGCAAAGATATTGCTCAAATTGTTTGGGCGGCAATTGTCTCGCTGAGGTTATCCCTGTGGCACACAGAAGGTAACATCCAGTTCTTCCGCCCACTAGTCTGATCTTTTGTGCTCGGAGTCACAGGGTGGTAGCACCTGGCCCCAGATGCAGCCCTCTCTACCTGGGGCTGCATCCTGATGAGACTTTGAGCAGATTTGTTAAGTCTGTGTATTTTGTTTCCTAGCTGTACAATGGAGAGAACACACCACTTCTCCCTGGGTTGTCAGACTTATACGAAGATAATTCATGCAAAAGAGCTATGTTCTGGGGCTGGAACATGTAGTCGGCTCTGGTGTCAGGGGTTGGGCTGGCCCAACAGAGCCCTGCTCTGTAAAGAAAGCCTTCTCAACCTTCAGAGGCAGCCGATATGGCAGGGTGTATTAGGGTTGAGCAGAAGCTACTATTACTGGTACTCTTGCTATAATACTTTTTGCTATCATCCGTATGTCTTTATTTTCCCTGTTAAAGAGACCAATGGAGAACCCCTTTCCCTGAATTTCCCATCAGCCCACTGGGGTATTCATCTAAGTACAAGTATATAAAAAGGAATGGGACATATTGCAAAGTATACAAGGACTTTCATGACAGAAAAGCAAAGCATCTTCTCTTTTCTGAGTCTGGCAAGTGGGTACCGCCAGTGTGGGCATGGACAGAGGCCCTGAGTTTGAACACTGGCAAGGCTATGGGCACACTGGCCATGCTGGCCTGCTTGACCCCCCATCAGAGCGCACAGAGGAGGTGTTCTTCACAGCTTATGCCCAATCTGGCTATCAGTGTCAGGCCGTGTGGCCATTCTCCTGGTCCCTCTGGGAACACCGAGGGGAAGCTCACCCATTGTGCTGAAGAATAAGCTAGGTTTGCCATTTCCAATTGGGGTGAGAAAGAACAGAACCTGGCTGACATGGGCATTTTTAAGCCTTGCACAGCAGAACCTAATTCCTATTCCCATTTGAAGGTTGCAGCTGCAAATCCTCTTTGCAAATTCACTTGTCCTTGTGAAGTGTAGTCTAGATGAGAATGATGGCAACATATGTACAAATATGCTTGATGCAACTGGCGTATGGAGTGTTATAAGAGTTGTAAGAGCGCCCCCATAAAATTATCTTTTAATAAAAAAATTAAAAATTTAGACTTCAAACGGCAAGAGCTAATGCTTTGTGATTACACACACACAAATGTAGACATAAGTACACAGATATGCACATCCTTGTGCACTTACACTTACATACACAAATACATACTCACACACACAGAAGCATACACATACGAAACACATTTCACACATAAACATACAAACACATGCACACACTCAGACACGTTCACACTCAGCCACTCTTAACACTACAGAAATCTGTTTCAGAGCACCAAGAATGGTGCTCGCTTCGGCAGCACATATACTAAAATCAGAGCACCAAGAATGATGGTCTGAGTGGGAGACTTCTGAATTTGAATATAAACTGTACTTTCTATTTGTGAAAATAAATCAAATTTTTAAAATAAAGTAAAACGAATGCCCCTTCTTCCTCTTTGGTCTCCCCCAGAACTGAAAAGACTGCTTTGGCCTTCGGTGACGAGGAGGACCTGCTTGTCAGCGGGCAGTTCCAGAGAACACTTGTCAAAGCTGATGAAGACCTAGAAGGTAAGAGCACACGCATTGTATTCTCTGACTATAGCTCTTACTGGTTTTTGTTTCCGTACACACTCTTCAGATTATCGACATGAGGAAAGGTCGTCAGAAGACGTTGCCCTTAAGAGAGACGTGAAGGGAGCACACTCAGGTGGGGCCCGGGTTTTTATCCATGCTGCCGAACAGTACTACAGAAACAAGGAGGGTTGTGTTGTTGTTGTTGGATAATACTGATTCTACACACACAACACTTGCCACACCCTTTTAAAAAAACAAATAAATAACATGCTCAAGGTGCCTCAGAAAACCCTGAGAGACACAAAGCTAATCACTTTTCAAATGAAGACTTCCAAGCTTAACTTGCAAAAACACAGCCTACCTATCAAAGTGAAAGGTAGCCCTGTAAGAACCCCCAATAAAATGATTTTTAAAATTAAAAAAAAGGAAAGGTGGCCCACAGTCCGCTGGCCACCGGAGCACCCATGTCAGGGAGCATGTCATGGCAACACTGCTCTTTGGAGATGTTTTCTGTAAACACTAGTATAAGGCCAGCGCAATGCAAAAATCTCAGTAAGCAAATTGGGAATTTTTCAAATAAGGTCTATCATTTTCTTCAGGCATGTAGTGTGAATCAATACACAATTGTATCGTAGCTGTATTTTCTCAATTTGTGTTCTCTATTTTACTTCTCTCTGTATTCTAATATCCGTTGCAATGGCTACACAGAACTCAGATAAAATTCGTGATCTATTCAGGGTTTATTAAGGAAATTAACAAGTTATAATGCACGTTAGAAATGCTCAGGGTACAATTAATAATTAGGACGTGTTACAAAGTTCCTTCAGGTCAGCTAATAAATGCCCACTTCACTGGAAGCCTCAACCCAAAGGCATTCAGCTCAAGCTCTGTGAGTCAGCAAACCCAGCTCCCAAACAAATGCCCGGGGGCACCACACTGCACAAGCCAGCCTCCTGCACAAAGCACTCAGCTCCACTTGCTCACGCGCTAGGAGTCCATCCCTTCTGGGTCTGCGGCTGCTTCTCTGATGGTGTAGCATCATCTGCATCCAGGAGTCTCACTGCATAGAGAGCCTGCGTCCAGAGCATGTGCTTCACTCCTGACTCTTGTTGCTAAAGAGATCCCCCCTCCTCCTCCTTCACACACAACAAGATGGAACTCCAGGAAATCCTGTTTTCAATTATTCACGGGTAATCCTATCAGTATCTTCCCCCACCTCCTTACCAGACCATTCAGGGGAAGGTCGTTTGGTGGGAATTAGAAACTTTTGCTAGAAGAGCCACATTAAATAAGTCATTGCTTCGGCAGTCCACCCGCTGGCTATGCTAGCCACACTGAAGCATTAACAGTCTCCTTTCTGGTTTTCAAGCCAGCCACTTCATACCTTTATCATCCCCCATTTTAAATATTCAAATTCTAAATTGCCTGTCTCTAACAAGCCCATGTGGTGAGTCTTCATTTCTGGTTGGACCTTCAAACGTCTGCATGCATAAGCAAAGTTCAGTCTCTAGAAGGGAAGTCCTAAAACTGCTGCAGTGTGCACCAGCTCACAGAGCCACGCATATGTCTCTTCATCTGGTTGGATCCTGGTAGTCTCAGCCTTAGCCCGATCAATGAGTACCAGCTGAAAGCACTTCCCACTACCTGACCTCTGGCGCTAATCCATCCCCATAGGCTGGATATTCACACAACATTTAAACTTCAGACCAGCCCAGCCATCCTCTTCCCTCCCATCTTTAGCTTCTGTGGATCACATCAGCAGGTACCAGTGGAACATGTCCAAATCAGCCCATCTCTTCACTGCTGCATTTCCCCCACTTCCACTCAGTGAGCGGATCCAATGGCTACCAGAATGAGCACCCCAAGCTCCCCCGAACTATCAGCCCTAGAAAGGAGCTGTTTTTTGCTGCTATCAGACTTCCCTGCTGTGATGCAGCCAGTAGCAAATTGCTTGCTCAAAAATTTGTCTTAAAAACAAAATTTTAGTCTTTTTTTTGACGGCAGGTCTTCCCTTCAAATGTAAAACTCCAGTTCGATCAGCAATTCTGGGTGGGCCTCAGGTTTTCTTTCTAAATCCCTTACTCTCCCTACCTTGACTTCAAACAAAAAGCCTTTTCTTTTCAGGCAATTCTTAGCTCCCCTTCTAGCTTATCTAATCAAATATAGGATGAAGGTGGATTTACAAGGGTTTATAATCATGATTGATTTCCTATAATACAATACCAGGTAGGAAAAATATTGGTTATCTAATTGGAAGCTAAATAAACATATAATCCTTAACCTTTTAAACTCATACCCAAATACATTAACCCCTTGTTCATCCCTGGACTCTATCTCTTTATGTACCTGGGGACGTCTCAGAAGGCACTCCTCTTATTCGTCTTAATCGGGCACACAGTTTCCCCAGGCCACTCTAGAAACAGCTTTTCTCTTAACTGCAGCATATAATTCCTCACATCCATTATGAGTGCCCAAAATAACCAGTCTTGGAAGCAAATGTTTTACTTCCGTGTGTGTATGTGTGTGTGTGTGTGTGTGTGTGTGTTTTGTTTTGTTTTGTTTTAGTTACGTCACTTTAAAAACCTGATTCTTCTATGAGTCTGTATCCATCACAATAAATTAGCCAATTGGATTGTGTAAATTAATGTTCTCTACTTATCTCTGTGTTTTAATACCCTTTGCAATGGCTGCACAGAACTGACACAAATTTCATGGTTAAAGAGTTTATTAAGAAAGCTAGCAAGTTGTAATGCCACTGTGAAATGCTCACGGTTGAGTTGTTTTCCAGGACACGTTTCAAGATTTTTTCAGGTCTGCTAATTAATACACACAGGAGCATACTACTGTACTGTAAGTCTCAACCCAAGGGCATTCCACTTTAACTCGGTGGGGTAGCAAAACCAGCTACCTGAGTTAAATGCCCAGAGACACCCTCCTCTAGTAAGGCACTCAACTCCACTCTCCACCCTTTCCAGTAATGAGCTCCCTCCTTGTGCTTCTCAGAGGGCTCATTTTATACTCAGCTGGATGGCCCTTGATTCCCAGTGACTCCCAGGTGAACTCTATCAGTCTCTTCCCCCACCTTCTTAGCAGACCCCTGCAGGGAGAGAGCCCTTGACTGAGGTCAGAAACCTTGGCTGGAAGGGACACATAAAATAATGCACTGCCCCTGCGGGGTCTATGCTTCAAAACCAAGCAAGACAAAGATGACAAGACATTGAAAGAGGAGGAAGTAGATTGCAGGATTGATCCATGGTTTTGACAGACTGATTCGTCAATTCCCTGTCCTCAGAATGAATATATGGCAGGCAGAGCTGACCTATCAAAACCAGCAGAGCTGACCTATCAAAACCAGTCCACAGGCCTCTGACCAAATGGCACACTACATCATTCGGGACTTTCAACAGTCACGACCATTTGAGATACTCAAAACGTAATCATTTAGCTCCTTAAAAAGTTAAGGCTACAGCAAGTTGCCCCACATGGTCTATTGCACTGGAGAAATGCAATTTTGTGTTCTTCCAAAGAGCTTAGATTTAGAAATCTGGTCGCTAAGTGGAAGATATGGGCAACATGTGGTGAGGAAACAGTAGGGGTCTGTAGTTCTTCTGTTGATTGATGAGAGTTGAGACTGTCCTGGGTCATCCGTAGATTATGGACAGCAACGATATTTTAAAATAGCTTTAAGTAGCTCGCATAAAAGTTACCTTAGAGAAGTCAAGCACATGGTGTGACTGCACTAAGTAATTGTCCTGGGAATTGTAGACAGAGTGCCAGTGTGTAACACATGTTTGTCCTTCTTTGTAGAAATGGAAGAGAATTTTGAAACAGACACCGGCTCTCTCACCAGCTCCGTAAACATTGCTTCCAGCCACTCGACACAAGATGCCATGCCCACTAGCAGCAATGAGGACACAATTCCGGTGACATTCATAGGGGAGGTTTTAGATGATCCCGTTGATTTGGGGGTGTTTTCCAACAGAAATAACAATGCAGGTTCTTTTGACCTGAGAAACCTGGGCGCCAGAAGAGCCCAGCTGCTATCGTTCCAAGCTGAGGACAGCCAATCCCTTAGAAAGGCGGAGGAGGTACCTAAATCATACGCTCCTTCTCATGACCCTGGAAAAGAAACTAGATGGACCTTTCCCAACACCAGTAAAGGAGTGAATTCTATTGAAATTCGACCCAAGCTGACTACTTCCGTCTCGAAGTTGCACGCAGATGCTCTAAATGCCCCAGAGAGAAAGCCAGCGTGTGGCCGGGCCTCCAGTGACAAGACGCCGGCTGCCCTGAGAGGGACCGCACAGCCACTGAGTCAAGAGGAAGGCCACACTCTAAGGGAGGGCCTGCCACCACCATCCTGGTATCGACGAGGTGACAGCCCAGGAGGGAGCTATGGACTTAAATACGGTCTCACCACATATAAAATTGTTCCTCCAAAATCCGAGAGGAGGTGCTATGATCGCGGAGTATCCCTCTCCACCGGCGCCATTAAGATCGATGAGCTAGGAAATCTGGTGAGCCCAGCTGTGAACGGAACCCGGACCATCGCCCTGCCATCATCCGTTCTTGAAACAGACGAGCAGCCCATTGGAAAGGTAAAAGAATTCTGGAGGTCCAACTCCATGGAAAAGCAATCCAAAGTGTCCAAAGGCCACTCCCTGGAAAGGACCAGCACCACCCTGCCAGCCAACCCCCGGCATCCAGAAAGCAGACACCTTGCTGACCCTGCACCCCCTGTCCCCACCCTGACGGTGCCCCGGAAGCAGGCTCTCCTCCCAGAAGATGGGAGGTGTCTGGAGGAAGGGAAAAGCCAGTCACCCATCGCCAGCCCTCTTCAACCCCAAGGGCCAGCAGCTACCAGCACAGATGTCTCCTTTGTTAAGCCTCAGAGAAGGACATCCAGCCAGTACATGGCCTCGGCGCTCGCGAAGCGGATGGGATCCGCCAGTGTCCACACTGACGCGGCGGCAAAGCACAATGGGGCCGAGAGGGGTTCTGAAGGCAAAACGCCCAATCCCATCAGACACCATCTTGCTACCAAAAGTGATAGAACTCCCAGCCCACCCTCAGAGATACCAATAGGTAAAGATGCTGCCAAGCAGCCCCGCCCCACCCTCCCCCAGAGTAACGGGGAGGAGTCGGCGGTCGGTACCCATCTAAGTGCAAACGGCAGCAGTCCCTATGGAAAGCTGTCTGCTCACGATTGTCCGACTGGTGTCCTACAAAATTCCAGTGCCTCACGAATCAGAGTTTCCCAGCCAGATCATGTTTCTGTGGCACAGAGCTGTGGCTTTGGTGGAAAGCAAAGCACAAGGAACCAGAAGACCAGCTCAGTGGCCGAACCACAGAGCGTGCTACACAGCACAGCCACCGCCTCTTCCCGCCCAACAAATAATCAGGCTTCCCCCAAGGCTTGGGTAAACGGCTCCAAGTGGCCCCCTGTGAGCAGTGAGCCTCCCCACTCTCTGAAAGGATCAACCACGAACAGCCACAAGGTTCTAGAAATGGAGCAGAAACCTAATTCACTATCTCCGGATGCACATGAAACAGAAGGAACCTCGACACCCAGCATTTTTGGGCCAAAGAAGAAATTCAAGCCTATCATCCAGAGGCCAGCCCCCAAAGACATGTCCCTCCACAGCGCTCTGATGGAAGCCATCCACTCGGCAGGAGGGAAGGAAAAACTCCGGAAGGTGACTATGCTGGGGTGCTCATTTTAGGGAGTTGGGGCAGGTGCTCTACATCACAACTTTCCACCTGAAAACTAGGTGCTCCAGACGTAGAGCCTCACAGTAGGGTTGGAGAAGAGGGAGACGTTAGGATAAAGATGGGACTGTTGACAGCATTATTGTTCCTAATATGTCACGATGCTGCTCTGAAATTGTCTCTGACATTTCCGAGTTGAGAGAGGCAGGCAACCATCTCGGTTCCTTTTCTGAATTGATAACCTGTGTGGGATGCCACTCACCCCTTGTCAGCGGTGCTATGAACCATCAGAGTGCGGTATCAGGGCTTGGGTTGCTCAGTGTCAGCCTCAGGGAGAAACTCCCACCCAGCATACGGGCTGATCCATCCTAGCAGTCAGGTCTGACTGCAACCAGAATTTCTGTTTCCATTCCCCATGGAATACTGAACGAACTAGCTTGTTGGTATGACGTCAAGGTCCCCGAGTGCAGAAAGCTATCAGCCCAAAAAGAGCCCTGAGAGAGTAGAGAATCCAGTAAACCAGTCTTCGAACATTCAAATGTACACATAGAAAATGCAACCCAGAGCCTATACATTTGTATAATGTTTAGCAGTGATATACTGTAATTCTTCCGTCACGATTGGAACAATATTGCAATACCCCTTTGTCCAGTATCTAGGCATTTAACTACTTAACAGCAGTTTTCTCAATTAATAGTCATTAAAATAAGCCCGATGTTTAGGAATTCTCATCTCTTTTATGGCCAAGGCCACACTCCTACCAGGGCGGACCCTGGATTCTCAGCTTGGCCTGCGTGCCTCTGAGACAGACACCAGCTCTGAAAAGGCAGGACAAAGAGATGACCTGAAGAAGCCATCGTTTGATGCGATCCCAAATACGCCTTGTTAGTTGCCCTCACGTTGATTCCAATGCATGGCGATCTCAGGAGTGCAGCACAGAACCGCTACCTAGAGTCTTCGAGACTGGCATTTCCGAAGCAGCTTGACAGGCACCTCTGTTTGAGTTCAAACGTCCCAACTTTTGGCTAGTAGCTGAGTGCTTCACCATTACCCAGATACTCTCCCCTAAGTACATAACAAGTCTGTATTTATCTAGCTTACAGTCCATATAAAAAGCTCAGTTTGATATTGTACTATAAAAATAACCATACACCCTCCCACAGGCATCGACTATGCAAGGGATCACCCAGGACTCAGTGATATGTGTTAGTTTTCTTTTTGAGCGGCCTTACTGGGAGCATATCTTTCATCTCTGATGGAGATCTGTTGCTACCATTCATATTCTAGACTGCAGAGCACACCCCAGAGAGAGGGTCAAAGAAGCCTTCGTACTCAGAGGCAGAGAGTGAGCGGTCAGCACTGCTGGCTGCCATCCGTGGACACAGTGGAGCCTGCAGTCTGAAGAAGGTAAGAGGAGCGGAGGACAGATCCGCGTACATGCTGGGACCAGGTACATCCTCCCCTAGTGGTCTGTCCCCAAGCCTTAAAAGACAGGGCAACCCTCTGATTTTCTAAGGTAAGCCATGGTCTGAGTGGCCAAGCAGGCACTCCTGAAGAGATGAGCAGGAAGGGGCCACTTCTGCCTTCGGGGTGTTGGGCAGCCCTTTTTTAGCCAAGGTGAAATAAGTGATGATGCCTAGAATCACTTCTCTATCGGTTTCCTTGAGCTTCTGCGACAACTCACCACCAATGGGTGACTTTGAACGACAGAAACATTGGTTCACGGGTTTGGAGACCAGGGGTCTAAATGAAGAGTGTCAGCAGTGCCCTGCCCTCTCCAAGGGCGAAGACCCTTTCTTATTGATCCCAACGTCCGATAGCCCTGAATGTCCCCTGGTATTCCTTGGCTTGTAAACATAGTTTCACATAGTCTCTTCCCCTGGGGTATCTCTTTGCTTCTCCTGTTTCGTAAGGACACCCCATGACTGGATTAGAACAAACTCTATTCTGGTAGGGCCTCAAACTAACCTAACTCACAGCCTCTTCAGAGAGCTTTATTTCCAAACAAGGTCATATATGCAGCTGCAGGAGTTAAGACTCTTCAGCCTGTTTTTTTTTTTTTTTTGATGGGGGGGGGGTGATACAATTCAATCCATGACAACTTTTTTGAATGCATAACTTTACTTATGGGAGCAACGGAAATTAAGAGAAGCCTGGCTGATGACCAGGTGTAGTTTCCAGCATAGGAAGTCTAGCAACTAGGAGTCAAGTCCCTTCTTTCTCTGGGATGAAGTTGATATACAAAGACAGCATTGCTCTTTCTATCACCTTCAGACTCCTATAGGCTGGGCTCGTCTGTACCTTCCATTCACAGATGTTACCGAAACATCTGACCAATAAGCTACGCATCATATTTTGAGTATATGGTCTCCATTGCAGTGATTGGTCAGCTCTCTCAGTCCATTCTGTTGCTGCCCTCACTTGCCAAATAAAGTTATAAGGTGTTCTCGATAAATAATCGTTCCGCTCTGAGTTTTGCCAAATTCTGGGTCTCTGTCGTCCCTTAGTGAGCAAACACACTGCCTGAGTTTGTCGAAAACAAATACTTCAGGGCCAAGGTTGAGACAATCAGTGTCGGCACAGGATGTAGCTTTGAGGACATCCCATGTAGTGCTTTCTTTCCCAGGTGTCATCCTTTGCTTCTGAGGAGCTCCAAAGTCTCCGAGATGCCGGACTCTCTGCACACATCTCAGAAACCCCTCAACAGAACAGCACATGTGCACCACCCCTTCCACCTCCCCCACCTCCTACTATCCCTGCTCCTCCGGTGCCCAGGATGGCCTCCAAGTTCAGCACAAATACTCTCAACAACACTGTGGATGCCAGACAAGCCTTGATGGATGCCATCCGCTCCGGCACAGGGGCGGCAAGATTAAAAAAGGTAACTGCATAATTGCAGGGAAATGTTTGAGGGTGCGTGTACAAGAGAAATGCTTGATGCCATGGGTGTGCTGGGCAGTGTCCCAGGGTACTGCGCCTGTGAGGCAGTGTGGGCCACCAACAAGAAGACAGGAAATATGGCAAGAGACAGTCAACACAGATGATATCCTTAAAAAGATTAGCCAGAGGAACAGAGAAGCACTTCCCTGATATAGATGAGAAGGCTTTGGCCTGGAGGGTAGGTACCTGCTATATCCTCAGCTAATTCCTGAGGAAATGGCATAAACACTTGTGTGTTTTCTTCTTTTTTTTTTTTTAACTATTTATGTATTGATGAATTTAGGCAGGATTGTCATGTCAAAGGAGCCCTGGTGGCGCAGAGGTTAATCACTTGGCTAGTCAATGAAGAGTCAGCAGTGAAGTTTACAGCCTAGGAAACCCCAGGGTTCTATTCTCTGTAGGGTTGCTGTAAATCAAAAATCAACTCGTCTGCCACTAACAACACGTAGGATGGAAAAATAGTGAAGAAATTGGGGGAATGATGAAATAAGTGTAGTAAACGTCAGACTGGTGAAAGTAGATGAGCGATTCTGAAGGGTCAGTGGAGGGGTGTCCCCTGTGCTCCAAACACAGTGCGGCGAGACTGAGAGTGCAGATCGCAAAGCCCTTCGCTAGGAGGCCAGAGCAATGCAGCCCCATGGGTGGGCTGATCCCTGATAAGTGTTTGTGTTTTGAAAACAATGTTTCTCAAAGTGAAACTCATAGACCCTATCTCCCTCTAGAATTAAATTGGGCTTGGTGGGCGTGGGGAGCTTGAGTCTAAAAATCTACAATGGTTGCCAGATCTCAAATGGTTGTCAAATGAATTTATATTAAAATTTGAGACTGGTTATCTCACTTGAGCTTTGGATATATTTTGAACAACATTGACTAGATTTATGGGACAGCTCTGACCATGCACTTGTCATATTGACTTAGTTCGGATCTTTTCAAAGCAAACATTACTCTTCATCTTGAAGAGGGAGGCAAGGACTCTGGGGTTCAGAGAGGCTGTTTGTCTAAGGTGGAATAGGGAGGGAGGGAGGGAGGAATGAAAATGTTACAGGCAATGGTGGTTCAGTGGTGGAATTAGGGCCTTCCAAGCTGGAAACTTGTATTTGACTCTTGGCCAATGCACCCTATGCACAGTTACCACCCATCTGTCAGTGCGGGCTTTGCCAATGCGGCTATGAATCTGAGCAGCTTTCAGCAGAGTTTCTAGATTAAGATCAATTAGGAAGAAAGGTGTAGCAATCGACTTCTGAAAATCAGCCAATTCCAACTCTTTGGATCACACCAATCCCAGCTGATCACAGGACGGGGCCAGGACGTGGGCAACGTTAGGTTCCATGGTGCATTGGGTCACCTTGAATGGGAGCCTATTCATGGAAACTAACAACAGAATTTTAACCTAGCATTTTCTGTCTCTGAGCCCACCTTTCCTCTGTCTTATAGAAAAGGAAAAACTATTTTTAAATAAATAAAAGAAAAGGAAGACATTTCAAGGTGTGAACTTTTTCTGGAGCAAGTCGTGGTGTGAACAGGAAGAGGGGAGGAACATGTGGGACGTGAGTGGAAAGAGCCAGAACTAGATGAGGTCAGGTGAACCTTCAGTGATGAGGAATCAGCGAGCAGACGTGTCAAGGCAGCAGGCCAGCAGGTCAGAGACTCTACAGTGCTAACGTGGCTATGAACCCAGGCTATTCTTCCTCCCATGTCCACAGTGTCCTTTGGCTCCTTCGAATGACATTCAAACACCCAGGCTTTCATTGTTTCTTGAGTCATTTTCTGCATTGTGACCTGCCCCCCCCAACCCCGACCAGTGCTAGGTAAGAGATGTCACTCTGGCAATTCTGAGGTGCACATGCCCTAAACACTCTCAGTTGTTCTTGGGCTGGAAGGCTGGCCCTGAATGACCAGGGTGAGTCTGACATGGGAATGCTCGTCCCTTTGACTCTCTTTATCACTGTTATGTCCAAATGACCTCCGGCCTTCCCCTGCCTGTTGTGCGTACTCTTGATCGCAGCATCACATGAAACCAGCCCAAGAAAAGTTGGGTCTGGAGGACAGAAGGAAGTGCTGTGCTTTCCACTGGAGCTGCCAGGCCCCGTCAGGAACCCCCTGGTGCCGCCTGAATAAGTAGCCTTACCTGGAACTAAAGCTTTCATCTTGTGAGGGTATTGGCTTGACTTTCCTTTCTGACAGCTTGCCCTTAATCTCTTCCTGTGTACTGAGCTGCAGATCTGTGGCCGATTGGAAGACACGGTCACTCAGGCAGCAAGGGACCATGATGCATTTTTCCTAACAGATTAAACCCACTGCCATCGAGTCAATTCTGATTCATAGAAACTCTATAGGACAGAAGAAAACTGCTCCGCAGGCTTCCAAAGCTGTAGATCATGACAGAAGCAGACCCCACACCTTTCTCCTGCAGAGAGGTGCTGAGCACATTAGCCACGGAGCCAATGTGGCACCTTCCTTGCAGATTAGATTGTATTTTGCTCTACCAGGCATGGGCCATAGAGGTTCTTTGGGCATCAAGGCATTTGATGACACTCAGTCTTTAGATTCCCTTTACCTGTGGACTTCTGAAGTTACAGAACTGCAAGGAAAATGCCAGAAATTCAGGGTCTGTAGACTCCATATTGGGTGGGCTTGGCTCTCAGTCGGTGCTCACGTGTGCTCAGTTCCCTCTTGCTCATGGGTCTTCAATGAGGTCTGCAGAACAGCTGTGTCAGGAAGAAGTATCTGGATCCTAGATCAAGCAAAGACTTATGGGTTGATGTTAAGCAGTAAAACCAGTTGTAGACAAGTCCATTCTCACTCTTGGTGATGACGTGTATCAGAGTAGAATGGTGCATCATAGACTCGTTTTCCAGACGTAGACTACCAGGCCTTTCTTCTGCGGTGCCTCTTGGTGAACTTGAACCGCCACCCTTTCGGTTCCTGGCTGAACACTTTAACCATTTGTATCACTCAGAAACATCTAGCAAATAAAAATAGAAACATTTTAAATTTAAAAATCTACTGCGATCAAATTGATTCTGACTCCTAGCAGCCCACACCGGTAGGGTTTCCCACACCAGATCTTTACCAGAATACACAGCCTCCTCTTTATCCCACTGAGTGGCTAGTGGGTTTGAACTGTCTACCCTTGTAGTCAGCAGCCCAGTGTGTAGCTCTCAGACCTCCTGGTCTACTCATCTAAGGGATGCTCATCTTAAGAGGAAGTTTGAAGAGAGAGAGAGAGAAGTTTGTCATTCTTTCATACTACTAAAAATGCATTTGTCTTACATAGTGTGTGAAGCAGATGATGGCTGTGTCTCTGGGAGTCTGTGGGTTATACATTGACCTGCCAACCACAAGGAGGGCACAGTTCAAACCTGGAGAAAGCTGCCTCTGCCTGCTCAGGTCGCTGTGAGTTGGAATTGGCACAGTGGCAGTGAGTTTGGGTAGTTGTCTAAGAACTTTCTGGTCCTAGGTGCCTTTCCTTCAGCTGCCAGCGAGAGCACTTGCAACTCTGCTAAGCCGCTGCTCCGTCTTCAGAAGTACACCCCCCACACACTCCTCCTGAATACAAGATTCTGTTTCACTCCCCAATGTTGCATTTTCTTCCAATTTCTGTACATTCATATTACAGGTGAAAAATAGATGCATCTGGCTGCCTTAGACAGACGGTTTAAAGTGCATTCTTTCAGGGAGTCTGGAATGTATACCTTTTTTTTTTTTTAATCAAGCTACCAAATTGCTTCGGGTTCCCGGCAGCTCTCTAGGAGAGGTTTCCAAGGCTGGACTCTTGATGGCAGCAGATAGCCTCATCTTTCTCCTGTGAGGCAGCCATTGGGTTCAAACCAGGAACCTTCTTTTCATCAGCCAAGCACTCAACCATTACATCGCCAGGGTTCCGAAGTTACACAAATTACCTGCCGGATCCAAGTTTATATTTAAAATATCCACATAGCCCACCATTCTTTCTACAAGGATTGCCTGGAGTCTTGCCGGGACCCAGGAACTGTGGAAGCCGCTCATGGGAGCAAGACGAATGAAGCCTAGCTGTGCCCTCAAAGAGCCCTCAGCCAAGGCAAGGGAGAGCTGTGCGTTTTGTGGGAGTGCATGGGAGTGCAAACAGCTCATGTGCTTGGCTACTAACTGAAAGGTTGGCAGTTCAAGTCCATGCACAGTCACCTCAGACAAAAGTCTGGATGACTTACATCAGACAGATTCATCATTGAAAACATTACAGAGCATGCTTCTAGTCTGATGCCCATGGGATCGCCATGAGTCAGTATCAACTAGATAGTAACAGGTTTGAGCCATTGTGGCGTTGACCTGAGCAACTATTCAAAGGGAGGGACGTCACCAACGCGTTCAAGACCCTTTCCTTGCCGATCACATCTTTCCTGCTAAGACCGTGGCAGAGCAAGCGTTGACTCCATGATCTTGCTGGAAGGAAGGGCTGCCACTGCCATCGCACAGATGGGCAAGTGAGCACAGCCATTGTTAATTATTTACCCCGGGCCTAAGAAGGTCATTGCCATTGTGGAGCCCAGACATCTTATCAGCCAGACTTGGACAGCTCCCAGCCACTTTGGAAAATGCCTCCCTAAAGCCATGCCCAGGCTTTGCTCCCTGCTGTGCCCACACAGATGCCAACCTTCCCACTGCAGGAACCACCTGATCCCAGCCACACAGAGACAGAGATACCTGGCCTGATCCGTAGGCCCCGTGGGAAATTTTTTAACAAGTGACACCATCACCACAAAGTCTACAAATGACCCTGTAGGACAGAGTAGCACTGCTGGTGGGTTCCTGGGACTATAGCTCTTTACAGGAGTGACAGTGTCATCTGGCTTGTCGACTGGTGCTTGCTTTTGAACCGCTGACCTTTCTGTCGGCCGCCCAATGCATCCAAAATTGACTCAATGGCAGTGAATTTAGTGTTTTGACGTGTCTCAATGTGTG